TAAGGTCTGCTCAGAGAGTGCTTGTGACACTGCTTAAATGGCTTTACATTTGTGCATTCAAAGAGGTTCTCTCTGTTTCAGACAACTCACAGTAGGGTCCTGGCATTATGAAAGGATCTGACCTCCTCTCTCAGCCTTTTCCTCCATCCTGAGTAGTTGCCGTGTCTCCTTTGTTAGAGGCTATCCAGGCTGTCCCTCAAGTACCCTTGTTCTCTTCGTCATTCTATCCGTCTTTCCCAGGTGTACCTCCAGTCCCAAGACATGTCCTGCTACTCCCAGTGTGTGCCATGCCAGCCCTGCGGCCCGACCCCTCTGGCCAGCAGCTGCAACGAGCCCTGTGTCAGGCAGTGCCAGAACTCCAACGTTGTCATCCAGCCCTCTCCCGTGGTGGTGACCCTGCCCGGACCCATCCTCAGCTCCTTCCCGCAGAACACCGTCGTGGGCTCCTCCACCTCCGCTGCTGTTGGCAGCATCCTCAGCTCTGAGGGCGTGCCCATCACGTCGGGGGGCTTGGACTTGTCCAGCTTCGGTAGCCACTACTGTGGCAGAAGGTGCCTGCCATGCTAAAACTCCTGGCCATGGTCCTGGATAAATTCGTCCATGAACCACGAACATGGTGCTGGATCAGGAAGACATCTTTAAGCCACTGCTTTCAGAATTCCTGACCCTACTTGGATACTCCAGGAAATGCTGAAAGCAAGTGGCAATCCTGAACTTTCTGAAAACATGGCTCATGTCTCTTCTTGTTTCCTCTGCCTAACCTGTGGAGACGCTTCTCCATTGCAGACGAATGGGAGGTTGTGACTCACAGCAGAGGCTGCTCTCTTGGGCACTGTCCGTTGCAGCAGAAGGTCTCTGCTATGGCAGAACAGGGGACAATCAGCCTTTGCCGTGCAATGATTCCGCCCACAGTAAAAACCAGTGGTAATGTAAAGGGAGAACACCACCACTGCTCATCTTATAGAAAAAGATACAATTGTGTGGAATGGCGTGGGTATAAGCCACACTGCTGTCTCGTAGAACAGGTCACCTCCTGTTCTCATCAGTGTGGCATCGGGGAAGCAATCAAGGATAGCAGACATCGCAGAATTGTGTGGAGGTCTCCGTGGCGAACAACAGAGCTAGTATCGTCATTTATGCCATTTTTATCACCTCGGATATAGGTTTGTCTGATTGACATTGGCCTCATGAATCAGTGCTGCGTGTGCCGTGCTCGTTTCTGTCGAGAACTCAGGGAAGTGCACCCAGGTCAGGATGGAGTTTGGCGGCCATGC